ATACCTTGTACTATCGCCGCGCATGGCACACACACAACTCTCTCAAATTCCAAAACCGCATTTATCCAGGAATAAATCCAGGCAAACGAGGGCGCATCGTCATGGGGAATACGTAATTTCGTGCATGGCGGAATTTTACACGTGGCACACTCATCGAGCCGTCCACGTGTGATCACCGAGGCACAAAACACGTCAATATAGACATACAAACCGTGGATAAATAATAATATTCCTTGTACTTATTAGCAAAAGATAAAAAAAAATCAATTCAAAATTTCTCAAAGAATTCGAGAAATAAAAGAAACGCAAGAGCAATCTATTTGCAAATTTACTCTAGAATAGTTCTCTTTAGGATAATCGCCGAGGATTTGCCAGCTAGTGCGCATTGGAATACACGTTGCATAAAACAATCGCAAGGACTGACGAATATTTACATCGGTAAGCCTTGAAGAGACCACACATCGGCTCGGCTGTCAGGTGGACTGACAAGTATCGCACACTATCGGCCACAACTCGCCGTCGAGCGGCGTGAATATTTCACGAGAGAGTCATGAAAGTAACCGACCACACACGGAACTTCGAAGCGTGTACAGCTTTGAGCTTCATCGAACCGTGCGTCAGCGCAAAATTATGCATCGCAAAGCCTAAAAGTACGAACAGAATGTAGATTCGATATTGATGCGGACCGTATCGGTATGAATGAAATATTCCATCACGTAACATACGCTATTTACACGTACATGCAGGAAGGAAGTTGCATGTATAACTTTATCTCGTAATCATTATGGAAATTTCAATATTTTTCAATAACGTCCGAGCATATTAATATATGGAATTAAATTTTAATGTAACATTAAATATCTAATTATCTGAATTATGATCTGCTTCAACGATTCGATCATTAATTAACAAAACGTCTTTAATCGTAAATATTTGTGATGATTATTACATTACATTATCTATTATTTTAATCAGCGTGTGAGTGAAAAGTTTGCATTTATTATGCATCCTTTTCTATAGCTAAAATACACCATTAATCACGGAGTGTTTTCCGTTTCTTGTATTCTGAACCGATATGACGTAGATGGAAACCAGGGAGAAACCTGAAAGGTTATCCTGGTGTTTTTCGCGCGTTTACCATTTCTCTTCAGTGCCATTATCTGCATACATTTTAAAGTTAAAATTACGTAGCCACATCCATTTTACGACACTGTTGTTTGGTGCATGTTTGCACCCCGTGTATTTTACATTCACAAATTGTGGGTCAAGAGAATACACGCCCCGTGTATGAAAATAATTATATTATACGATGTAACATAATTACAATTTTAAAATAAATGCAGAGTCTGTTATTGATAAATATAAACAATCAATAGAAAAATTGAATAAAATTAGTAGAATAAATTGATAATTATTAATTGCGGACTCAGTCTTCTATTATAATAAATTAGCTGAAACACTGTATGAAATATTTGCAGTCTATTTTTGTTTTATTTTTACGATATAAACATTTTAAAAGATTCTCGAGGTATTGTTTTGCTGTTCCAATTTATATGTATAATACTTTACTCTGATAAAATAATAAAATCTAAAACCACTCACCTCAAATTATTTGGGAAATATTACAGAAAAAAAGAAGAAAAGAAAAAAAAGTATACCTAAAAAAGTTTCAAGTGTTTTTCTCTTTTCTCCTGTGTTTCTTCCTTTTCCCTCTTTCTGCAATCCCCAATAACTGTCTGTTTCCCAAATAACTTGAAGTAAATGTTTGGCTAATATTATTCTGCCATGGTAAAATATACTATAAACTGATACAATAAAGCAATACTCGGAGAACTTTCCAGAATATTTATGTTACAAATATAAATTAAAAGTAGATAGCAAATGTTTTCACATAATATATATCAATTAATTTATATAATAGATAAATATCCACACGCAATTAATGATTATTAATTATATGTATTTCTTCGGTTCTATTTCCAATTTTACTTTAATCTTTTCTAGCCTATTTATTTATTAATATCGATATGAACAAATTATCTGCATTCATTTTAGAGTTAAAACTACGATTGTATTGTATAATTTACAATTATTATTTACAATTATATCTATGCACGAAGCGTTCTCTCACTGTGCAGATGTAATACAAACGCACTACAAGCGGCAGTATCAAAAGTGGATGTGGCTATGTAATTGCAACTCTAAAATGGATGCAGATAGTGGTACTAAACGAGGATCGGTAAACGTTCTACAAAAAACGTTAGACTAGCCGCTCTTGTGTTTCTTTTTGGCTTTTATTTATACCGCGTCGGTTCGACACGCAAAATACGAACGTTCCGTGATTAATCGGGTATTTTATCCGTAGAGAGTATAACACGTGCGAATTTTTCTCACAAATACCGATTAAAATAATTAGTGTTTATTACTAATCAGTGTTTTACTAAGTAAAATTTGTTGCATTTTTGATTTTTATACATCAGCTTTAAAAAAGATTATTGCGCACGAATAAATGACGAAAATGATCAAGAAGTAGCTATTATAACAGAGTTATAATATAAATAGTTATTCGGGTATTATTATTCATTCGATATTATATTTTATAGCTTTTATATATTGTAAAAAAATATGATTTTTTTTGCTAAAATCGATAATTAATATTACTTAGTTGCATGTATAAACAGAGTGTTCCAATCATATCATCTGTTAAGCGGATTTCCGATATTTGGAGACTAAAATCTTTATAGTAAAATGTCGAAATACGATAGTTTTTAAAGGTATTTAAACTTGATCAATTAGATTGTCAAAAATCCACGTGCTCAAACACGTCTGATTGATTTTTATATTCTTACCATATGAGAAACTTTAAAAATTTGTTATTAGTAAGTGTTATCTGTGACATCACATATATTTTACATTATTTTGAAATCTATTCTCTTAATAATATTAAAACAAATTGGAGTGACTTACCGGCACGATGTGCAGCAGTAAAGTTATGCACAATTTGATCTGTAACATACAATGTAAATCTAAATTATAGCAGTGTTTAAAATAATTATTTGAGAAATAATTATTGCGCATATTAAATTTCTACTCATCTTTTATGCAAATATCTAATCAAAGAATTATATATTTATATCTAATAATCATGAATATTAAAAATTGCAAATAGAAACTTGCACATAGAAAAATTGCACATAGGAACTTTGAAATATTCACAATAAAAGATTTACAATTTTTAATATTTATGGTTATCAGATATAAATATATAATTCTTTTCTTAGATACTTGCATAAAAAAGATGAGTAAAAGTTTAATATGCGCAATAATTATTTCTCAAATAATTATTTCCAACACTGCTATAATTTGAATGTTACAGATCAATTTGTGCATAACTCCGCTCTGCGTATCGTGCCGATAAATCACTCCAATTTGTTTTATTTTAATATCCACTAACAAATAGAATAGATTTAAAAATAATGTAAAATATATGAGGTGTCTCAGACTAACCGTATTAATAGCAGATTTCTGAGGTTTTTCATAACGTAAGATTATAAAAATCAATATGCGACGTGCTTAAGCATGTAAATTTTTGATTAAATTTAAACTGTCCATCTAAAAACTATTGTAGTCTCCACATTTTAGCACAACAATTTTTGTCTCTGAATGACTTCGGGAATCTATTAACGGGTAATACGTTTCGTTTGAGACTCTCTGTATGTATCAGAGATACAATACTAGAAATGAAACGCAGTCATAAAACTGTGATTGGATATTGAATATCCGAATAAGCAAATTTGTTTTTAGCTATGCTAACGTGTTTCTTCTTTAGTACTGAACTTCTATCACTAGTTCTATCATATTTATGAAAGTAGTTTTGTTGTACATTTGAAAGTTTTCTAGATCAATATAAATGCCTTATAGTCGATATAATCATTCCTGCGTTGTTATGCTTCGTCGCTTTATTATGTCTCACTTTATGTATCGCCATAAAGAATAAGAAAAATACAATAAAAACTGTGCTGTTAATTATACAATTATGAGTCATAAGTATTCCCCATTGTATCGCTATTCAATATTTTGATTGATTTTCGGAAACGTTTCGGGAGTTTCGATAGATTTGTATGATATTAAATGTTTGCCTTACGTATACGTGTTACAACTTTAATATAAAATTTATTTCTCGTAGATAGTTAGAAATACAAGCCAAAGATTCGATAATGAGGCAGCAAATCGATTGGAAGAAAATGCTTTTTACTAATGATTGCTCGCCCAACAGCGCCGCAATCCATTCATTTACGTAACCGCGTTAACACAATTTCTGTGGGCTGCCCGTGAATAATCAATACTTTGCGAGACTATCTTTAATAAAGAAGGAGTTAAAAATACAAGTACCAGCCACACTATATCAGCTACCGCGCGTTACTGTAATCTTGCGACGACGAATAAAACAACGTTCAGAAATATTGGTTTCCATAAAATTCGAGGTTCAACCAAAAGATTTCAGAATTACCTGCGCTTAATTTTCTTGCGCTTGATCATTTTCTACTAGAATGTGAGATTTGAAGAATTTTTTATCCCCTATACTTTGCTAATAATCTTTCTATCCACTAAACGTATACACATATTATCGAGGAATTTTTACATTCCTCTAAATTTTTGTTTTGAGAATTTGATGCATTTTTAGGTCAAAGCAATTTTCAACTAGGAACACAAACCTATGCAAATGGCAAAAAATACCTTCGAATAAATGGAGGAAATTTTGCGTAATAGAAAAATATGTTGCAACCATAAATTCAGCGATGAAAATGAAACGCTGCCATTAAATGCTAGTAATTAAGTTCATTTGCATATTACGAAGATTTACGATAAAAATTACAAAAAAAAAAGAAGTATGATTGGCGGTGCAAAAACGTTTCGTTGCATAAATTTGCATTTGTAATCTTTACGATTCGAGTGTGTTCACGGCGAGAATGGACGACTGATGCAATGAAAAGACGTACCTGCTTGAAGCCGCGATACATGACTCGAATCTCCTGGCGGGAAAACTTGGTCTGTCGCAAAAGCTCCTCTATCGGCACCGGCCTAGTGGTCTGCTGCCTTGCTCGCGTGTTTTCGAACTCGAAGAACGCCTCTTCCGGTCCCGGCGAGTCCGGCGGCGTCGCCATGACCTTTGATTCTGCCGCCGCCTAAAATTGTCGAAAGCTGCTCACACGACAAGGCTGCCTCTTCTGCCTTCCTCTCTGCTTCCGGTTCCTTTCGATATACGGTGTAATGCCGCGGAGTCACACCATCGTCGATACCATCTTCGTCATCGTGCGTCTCATTGTGCGCTTCTCCGTTTAGCGATCGTTTCGCTGCATTTCGCGCTCTTTCTCTTGCTCTTGCGTCTGTCAAAACGCAAAATTCTCTCTTTCTTTCTCTCTTTTCCTTTTTCTCTTTCTCAAACGAGTGCTACAAAATATTTTCCACGTGATTCCGCCGCTCGGGCAAACAAACCGTTCGCGCGCAATGCGTTCAGTTAATAACGACTGTATAATGCAAAGCGCGATATTTTTAACGTTCTAATTATGTGACGCGTTATTGATTATGTCAATATTCCTTCCGATCGGGTAATTAGTTCCGTCTTTACAACTGAATGGACATTGCAGCGTGTGTGTGTGCGTGTGTGTGTGTGTGTGTGCAGGGAAACGCAAACGCACGAAAATTCCACCGTGCAACGGTATGTTAGTTAATTAACGTTTGCAACGCAAATAAGCATTCGCACGAGAGATTCCTTTCTGTATAGTAATACCTCATCTTTACATTAAAATTCATTCTACAGCTGTTTTTAAAACGGATAATGTAACATGATAAAAAAATTCATCGACAAATTGCTATCAAATTATATATCCAATCAATATTTATAACACTTAAATGTTGTCTTAATTGCGTTCAACACAGTTCAATTTAGAAGCCACGGCTTCAGAAGTTATTTGAATGAATTATTTGCAAGAGAAGTCAACATTTGCTGAATTCTAAGAACTCCACATCCGAGTATTCAAGTTTATTGTAATAGTCTGCAACAATTCACTTGCGATATTTGTATTTACATCATATGATTTCTTGGGGCTTGGCATAAGTCCCACGTGAAAGGAAGATATCGCGAATAAAAGTGGACTCGCGGGGGAGGGCGAGTCTGATATATGCGCGGCCCGAGTGCTTCAAGTTCTTCGCGATCCTAGGATAAACCCGTTCCCGTTTGATAGCGTGGCGTGCATACGCGCTATTAATCACTATTAGCAAGACACGGACATAAGCTGAAGCTGCGTTTTAAGATCTAGATTTCGGGGTCACTCTCTGTGAAGATCGTAAAAATAGCTTGGTATAAGACGAGTAATATTGCTCGCATAAAAATCGATGGTTTGAAATTCGCAAAAGGTTACCGTGCCAAAACTTCGGGATCGATTCGAGGCGCGGTCACTACGAAACTTATTGATAAAGATCAGAGACATAATTTTTCTAACATTAAAAGGCTAGTACAAAAATTATTCAATATAAAAGCTTACTAGGCTCCTTTCTTAAAATTAAAGAAATAAAAAGAAAAGATAATGGAAAGAAATGAAAAATTGTCACGTCTATTAACTTTAATTGTCAAGTCAGACTTAGCAAACGGTTTTTTCAATTTAACGTTACGTTTAATTATTTGATATGATTTAAATAAAATATGATAAAATATGACATAAGACCAAAAGTGCAAAGTAATGCAGTCAGCGATTTGAATAAAAGTACGCGGGGACCAACAGTGTGCCTCTTTCCGTAAAGAATATAATAATACCGCTAACGAAACCACTTCTCGAGGTTTGCGGTGCAATAACTTTTCTACGCGCAACGCTGTGTTTATCAATGTTAGCAGATGCGGATATACGGAAAATGTTAAGGATTAATGTCAAAATATTTATATCACGATTGTTGCGTAAATATAATAGTGCGATATGAGGTCAATAGGCATATTACAAGGTGTATAAATAAGCTCATCGTCGGATCGGCTTAATGGCGCGGAAAGAATTACGATAGTAAATTATCTAAATTAGCATTTTAGAAAAATGTTAAAAAAATGTCAAAGCAATACGTTACATCAAAAGTAATGTCATTCACAAATCTTTCAATTTGTCTATTATGCCGCGACATTTTTTGTTTTAATTATTTCAACACATTATATGATTCCTATGTGTATGTTTTGCATCATTTTCCTTTATTAATAATTAACTAAGTGATGTTTATCTCACTGTAAATACGTAAACTTTGTCACTGTTTGAATAACTGTGTAAATAATTATTTATTTATAAAAATGAAGTAAATTGATATTTCAATAAAATGACTAAATGTTTCTTATTGAAAAATTAAAATATAAGAGAAGATTGCACATCATTAAAGCTGCAATAGACTGAGCTTCATGCAAATAAATAATTTTTCCTTACATTTTTGTGTGTACGATTATTGTAACGTAAAAATCTCTTGTATACTCAAAGCTAAACATAGCTATTATATAAATATTACGTTAATGAGCATGCAAATATGTGTTGTGAAACATGATATGTGTTGTGAAACATAATATGTATTGTGAAACATGATGTTATTCTAGAGAAATTGCTCAATAATAATAATTTTTTATAATAATCTTCATAAGACATAATTTAACATTCATCTATCACTAAATTCTTTTTTCACGTACTAAACGAACTGGCAATAATATCATAAATATCTCGTCTCGAGTGCTAAAGCTCTATATAAGATAAAGATTGCATATTTAAAGTTTCATTAGAGAAAAAAATTCACCTGTTAACGGAGACGTGATTCACGACACAATACCGAGATCGACGATAAGGAATCGCGGTGAGGATGACTTCTTATCGCGCGGCGATTAACGACGGAGCGCAAGCAGGCAGGCAGGCAAAAGGGGTGGAAACGCGCGTTTCGGACGCGCGTATAACCCTATCGCGGATCTCCCGTTTGGTTCGTGCGAGAGGATCGCGGCAACGGTCGTCCCGGGAACGAGAGGCAGCGGCTCGCACGCGGCTGCATCAGCGGCGGCGGCGGCGACGGCGGCGGTGGCGGCTATCGTCGACTCGAGCAGGTGGATCACTCGGCGACGCGGTTGATGACCCTCCCACTATCGTGCGGGGAGACAGCGCGGCGACGAGACACGAGGACGTCAACTCACCGATCTCCATAACATGATCCCGTCGCGCTTCGTATCGTCGCGCCGGCCACTAACATCGACGCGGATCAATCATTATCCGGGGAGATAGAAATAAAACGAGAGGGAGAGAAAAAGAGAAAGGTGCGGTTGCGAGAGAAAGCGGGTGCGGTTGATTTTCCGAAATCTCGTAAAGCACTGCCGGTCCGCCCGTTGAAAATTCTACGGGCGCAATTCCAACTACAAACACAATCCGTACAGATACGCGACCGGCGGTACACTGATTGCCCGGATAGAACGCGGCTGGACGGCGCCTTCACTGGTTGGCCGGACGCCGAGGCGGCGGCGCATCGAACCACCGCGGCTGAGTGCCGTCGATCGCTTTGATGCGCCGGCGGAACTACCCTTAAACCGTTTCAAGGGTGCAGCACGTGTGAGAGTGATTATGGGAGGTATTGCATAGAGCGCAATGTGTTTGGTCTTTGTACGAAAATCGTAAAACGGAAATAAATAAATACGTGTGTCTCTTTACTATCTTCACGTTAATAAACGTGATGTATGTGTATAATACAACTTTTGATACAGAAGATACAACTCTGCGAATTAACGCATTTAATTCTGTCACGCAAATATGACGTAATCATAGTATAGCGTGACGGAAAACACTTTCAAGTCTGATACTACTATAAGTGGAAAATTTCTCGTTAATCAAGATTCGAGAAAGTTTTACACATGTAAATTAAGATAAATACATGGCAGCGGAAAAATAAGTTAGATTAGCCATTATGATAGACATTATCTAAATAACTGCATTTATAAAAAATAAATTTTAATTTTAGAAATGTTATAGCTTAATAATTAATTTAGATATTTGTACATCAAAATTTCAAAAATTGTAAACTGACATGAAGTTAATAATTTTTCAACGATCTATAATTTTTCCGTATTTTGCGTAGCATGAAGAGATCTATATTTTTTAATAATTGTATGTAGCAATATAATGTTAAATATAATATAATTGAACGCAATCCACGAATATAACAAATGAAAAAGTAGTGGTAATATCAGTACTTTATGTAATTATTTAAATGTAATAATTCAGTTCACTCACCAGTGTTGCATCCTTTAAAAGCGTGTTCAATTGTACTATCACTAGCACAATTGAGTATTGACGCTAACGTGTATATCGCACATTGATTCTAATGTAATTGAAGCAGAAATAAGAATTATTTTGTGTGTTTACAGCATTAAAATCTTTTCTCATTCAAATTCTAACCTATTTCAATCCACAATTCGACTGCCAGATCACCAATTGACAAAACACCGTAAATCGCAAATATTCGCGATGAATAATACATTCTGATAATCATTCGTCACTTTAATCAGTATCCCCAAATAAAATTAACACTAATTATGTAAGAATTAATACTAAATAATACGGATAAAATTAATACACGATTAATTGCAAAGCGTTCATATTCTGTGCTTTGAACCGTTGCACCCTGCCGGCCAAAAGAAATAATTCAACATAATGCCAATTGTCGATCACTGCGCGCTATCTTATCAACTGCGGATCACTGCGCGGTATCTTAACAACTGTGTCGGTCAACATTAGTTGCGTTTAGTGCTACCAGTGGGCTACCACTGTGTGTAAATGTGTTAGTGTATATGGTTAGTATATATGTGTATGTATGACCGCATGTGTGAGCTCAGGTCCGTGGGTTTGCTAAGCCCAAATGACTGTGCGGTTCAATCATCCTTGCGGAAATACAAATTTATGACGCTTGAATAATAGTGTCGACACATTTACGTGACTATGATTTGACTCTAGCGTCAGAGAAAAAAAAATTGAATTTATAAATTCACGAAGTTTTTAAATAAAATAGTTAGAAAATTTAAACTAAATTAAATACTTTTATTGTACGGTACGTTCTGAAAGTTACTGAAGTAACAAGAGACGATATAATATTAGGTCTGTTTTTTATAGCTGAACTGGCTGCACTAGTTCAGAGTTTATTTTTCTCTTTCCAATGTGAAGAGAAAAAGATAAACTCTGAACTAGTACAGCCAGTTCAACTATAAAGAACAGACTTATTGTATTATACATGCTGATATCATTTACTTATTTATTTTCTCTCTCCCTCTTTTTCATATCTCTCTATGTATCTCTCTCTTTTCCGTAACTTCTATAGCGCAATATCGCACTCATGAGATGGCACTGAATGCAATATATGCAAAAAGTACATTGTGCGCTTATAGAACCTTCCACTCTATCTAATCCTCTTTGGTTAAGGGTTGAGTTGTCAAGTTGTTGCTCGGGCATTGGGTCAGGTTAGGATCAGTTTACATATGATAATGACAAGAAAATGGATTTAGAATTATTGGAAAGTAAATTCTGTGGCACAATGCTGGGCGTCTTGGTCGGCGATTGCCTTGGAAGCACATACGAGGGCCAAGACACTCTATCAAATCGCGAGAAAATGATTTTTCAACAATTTCTCGATAAAATGGAGAGAAGCTGTCTCGCAGGTTAGGATGTGAAATTTTAATCATTTATTTAGCATTGTTTTTTTCTGATTTGTTATTCTGATTTGTTAAAAATTTCACGGATTTGATGTAACAATTTTAATCAAGATTTAATGTCATTTTGGACTGTCTTTCGAGATTCATGTATTCACAGATTCAATATGTTTACAATATCTGTGTTGATAATAATGCAGATTACATCAAAAGTATCACAATATTTTTAATGACTTAAAAAAATTCTAATAATTTTTTCATCTATATTTACATTCTGCATTTTAATTTGCTTAATAAAATAAATTACAAGGCCTCTTTTAATTATGTATATGGATGTGTGTATAGAGCTTATCCTGAAGTATACAGATGACTCGGCAATGACAAAATCTTTAGCCCAGTCGTTAATTAAGAAACGTGATGTAGATCTTGTTGATATAGCAAAACGATTTGTGAAAAGTTATGATCAAGAGCCAAATCGTGGTTACGGGACTGGTGCTATAAATGTTAGTATTATACTAATGCTAGCATTAATTATAATCGATTTTTACTATAAAACAGTAAAATATATTAAAATTGCAGCTATGCAATATGCATATAAATTTAAAATTTTGATGCATACAGGTACTTCAAAAATTACGCGAGGAAAAAACAGATATAAAAAAACCAGCAAAAGAATTATTTGATGGTTCAGGTTCTTATGGTAATGGTGGCGCAATGAGAATCGCTCCTATGTCATTATTTTTTTACAACAATTATGATAAACTTTTACATTATGTCAGAGAAGTAACACAGATTACACATTCGCATAAGCTGGGGATAAATGGTGCTATTTTACAAGTAACACTGCAAATCAATTTTTCTTAATAAAGGAATACTTGTACTTAATATATCTATATTAATAGATATCTATCACAAAATCTGTTGTTATCACAGGCTATAGCAATTCAACAAAGTCTCCGCTTAAATCCCACTGAAGAATTAAATGTTTCTAATTTTCTTGACGACCTCATAGACAAAATGGATAAAATTGAAGTTGATGAAAGGTATGTTTTATCATAATGTGTCTTATCTTAATGTATTATATCAAGGCTTGAACACTAATGTTAACACTGATATATGAATGTTAGTCAGCCGTACAAGGAAAAACTAGATATAATAAAGACCCTACTTTCTGAGGACGGTGATGGTCCTGATGATGAAAAGGTAGTTCAGAAACTAGGTACTAACATCACGGCTGTAGAATCTGTTCCCACTGCAATTTTTTGCTTTCTAAGAGCACAAAGACCTATTAAAGGGATAAAAACTGATAATCCCTGTAGAAGAGCTATTCAATATGCTGTAAGTTGTAAATTCCATGGTGGAATCTATCATGATAGAATAATTTTGCAGTAGAAATATATTTAAAAGTATCTCTGCTTCATTATTCTAATCTCCACTTTTTATTACAAATTTATAGATTACATTGGGGGGCGATACAGATACAATTGCTAGTATGACCGGCGCAATATCAGGTGCTTTCTATAGCAATCGCAAGATCGATGAACTAAATATCTGGAATTTTTGCGAAGGAGAAAAACGGTTTCGAAAATTGGCTAAACAGTTGCTTGATATAGCAACGTCCAACGATTTAAATAAATGAATAATATATATCAAAAAATAAAAAGTGGGCAGATTTTATTAAAATTAATTAAATTAAGCGTTTATTTATAATTATTATGTATATTTGATGAGCACCAATATTGATTAATAACAACTCTGTTAATGCAGAAGACTGTGCCTAGTGTTGTTTGTATATATTTTATTTACATTACGCCTCTTTATAAGCTCCATTGGACAACAATTTACTATTTTGGCGATATATTTTTTACTAATTATAAATATTAAGTAATAACTACACACACACACGCGCAGGCTGTTACATGTATTTTGCTATCTTCATATTTTAGATTCGTTTACGATGTTAAACATATTTTATTTCTAATACAGGAAGAATTAAAAGTTATTTGGTAACTGTGTTATTTGGGAACGAATTTGTATGACTAGTGTTGATAATTTTTCTAATATTATTAGTCATTTGCTACGATGTTAGGCTTGCATTAATATAATCGCGCTTTATTAGACTTATAATAAAAATAGAAAATATTAACGTAAATTTTGTATAAACAAGAATATAAATAGAATACATCTGAAACAATGTTCTTTCTGTTCTTTGAAACAATTTCCTATTGTTTCTTAATAATCACAGAGATTTTAAATATTTAGCATGGGTGATCAGTTCGTATTCTATTGAAGCACACAGTGAAAGAGTTCAGATTCATTTATATATTAATATTCAACTAAAAAATAATAATTGTAAATGGCAACGATACACGCGCGTATATAAAAAACCGTCTTTGATATAAAATTATAAAAATTGGCTAATTGTTTATGTATATAAAACAATTGTTCCTTCCATATTTTAATGTATATTTAACAATGAATTTAATTTTCAAAAACATTTTTTTAATCTAAAGTATTGAATTTATAATTTAATAATTAACGTGAATACACATATATTTGAATAATTCAAAAATGTAGAGCTTTTTATGAATAACAAAGATAAAATTTTTTTAAATTAATTGGAAGTATTAAAGTGAATAAAAGTTCAGCAACTCTCGAGCTGATTTGCAAGATAATATTGTCTATTCTAAAACATTATTCCCCCCCTCCCCTCGTTTTTACACGGACCAGCCATGGTTCTTGTGCTACAAATCATGAATTTAAAGATTATATACTCTAAATAGCAATTATGAACACAACAGCAATTATAAAGATATTGTGATAACATGCAACGCAGCACATATTTGCAATAACGCAGAATTTCATACAACATTTTCTCGTACTCTTCGCAAGATTTACTTAGAATTTTTGAAAAAGATAAAAAAATTATAGAAAGAATTATAGAAAAGATATGCTAATTTTGGATTATATGTCAATAATTGCCAATTGTTGACATAATTGATATTCGTATAAATAAAATATTTTCTTCGTTTTCAGATTGTTATTGAAATCTTGAAAAATCTCGTTTTTCTTTCTTGTAAAATAAAAAAATTTGTTTTCTCATAAAAATTAAAATTGCAAATTTATCCGCAGTATGTAGCAAAGGGCTATCAAAGTAGATCTTGCGCGAAGTTACAAGCGAGAAGATAAAATATATTTCCTAAAGTAACAAAACGTGTGTAAACGACAAAATATTTTTATGATATTAATGGAAGTGGCACGTAACAACAAAGTTTTAAATTTTCTCAGTAGAAAAATTCCACGAGAATTAACATACGTGCAATCGCTGTCTGCCTAAAATAGTATCTTATTAATAAAAATCCGCCAGAGATCTTTAAATCCGCCTCTAAAAACATTACAAAACGTTTCTTTTGATTCAGTCTCTATTTCGTTCTTTGAAAAATATCGCCTTAATATATTATTTACGCGATTTTCAATACTTGTAGTTGATGCAATCGCGTAATATTCTTAACAACACTCGAATATTCATAGGAATCTGATTTGTGTCTTTTCGTGTCAATCAAAGAAACAATGTTATAACATTAGTAAGGAATATGTTTATGAAATAAAATAATTATTTGAGTTAATTATTTGACTACCCGAGAAAAAATGGTATAATATCGTCAAATGTAAATATATATAATTAGTATATTATAAAAGATCTGATAACATATGATATAATCATATAAAATTACATATGTTATCATATAAAATTATATATCAGATCTTTTCATAACTAATTATATATATTTACATCTGACCAATTATACCATTTTTTTCGGGTATTGTAAAAGAACTTTACTTTAATTCGGGTATTGTAAAGATTTCCCAGTCCAAAATTTACAGACTACTTTAATTATGCAATTATACTAAGAATAAACTTTCTAAAAAATTTAAATTTAGTTGCCAGATAACGTGTAAATATCTAAATGTTGTTTTGTAATTTTTTTAAATTATAAAATGTTTGATAAGCATGTCGCTTTCAATTAGATTATTTCGTATCTCGATTCCTAGAGTTAAGTTGCAATCGAAAAGACAAAAAAGACAATGCAACATTTTTCTCGGTGGGAGATTTAAATTTTGCGAGCAGTGCCAAGAGCAGCGATACTTAATCAAATATGTGAGCTAAAATTTCTATAAGACAACTTCCGATTTCAGAGCAAACTCTTTGGCTTCTAGTAGCACATTCCTTCCTTCTATTTTTCCGGTTATCTTGTCGCTCCGTTTTGCCCGGCCTGAACATACTGCAGTCTTCATCCACATAGCAATGTGTCCCAATTCTGGGTGTTTTAGATAAGCTGAACGGTGGAACAATTGCAGTATCTCGAAACTGCGAATTTAAGAAAATAATTTTCAATTGTTTTATCTTTACCTATAAAAAAATGCGCACTATTTTAGATTGTGAAATGAAAGAATTTATAGTATTTGAAATAATTAATTTTAAAGTTTAAAATAAAGTTAAATATGTCGAACTACATAGTAATAAAATTATTTAACCATTTTAATGTACAATCGAACAATTTTATCTTTTCGTATTTCAAATGCTCTGACAGATGAGATAAAAAAAAATTAACGTGCATGCTTACGTTATCGTTTTTCGAGCTTTCGGGATGCCCGAGTATTTTGCTGATGATGTGAACACACTCCTCATTGGTCAGTATACCACTCGCCATAGGGCCGTTGATAAATTCTTCATCGTCCATTAAAAGATACCTTACGCTGTAGCAAATATCGTCTGAGAGCACAGCTCTCTTGTTAGCCGGCAGAGGCTCGATACCTTGTCTTCTACACTCCGCTTTGGCCCACCTGTCCAACGCGGAGAAGAGGTTGCACTCGCTTTCGAGATTTAATGTATCACGCCGCGCCAAATCGGCGACTTCTTGGACGCTAAGTTCATCAAACCGTTCTTGACGCAGCACCGTCTCCGGATTCGCGTCTATCACAAACAGGCATTTGTGTAAAAGATTGGTACACACGCCAGCTGCAATGTAAACAAAAATATCGATAAATTTCAAAGTTTGAGAAATTAACGATTGAACCGATTACA